GCTGTTTTGTTCTGCAATCTGTATTGGTCTATTTTCCAGGCTAATTTTTTTCCCTTGGGCCAATTCTGCTCTTTTATAGATACTCAGGGCTGGTGAATAATTGCAAAGAATTCTGTTGCTCTGCCATTTCTCCAAGTTAAATGTTTATCAATTTTATTGACTACACCATTGTCTCTTCCTAATTATGTACAAATGTATTAGGTTTTATGATGCTAATTCTGCAGCAAGATTCTCTTTCCTCTGTTGCTATGGTGAAAAAGATTTGTCTAAGCCTCTTGATTATTGGTGGGAAAGACCACCTTTAAAGTGGGCTTCTTACTCAGCAATTTTGCTTACCTTATGGTTTTTTTGGGAGTCTTACTATGTGATATTCTCACTCCTGGCTGAGCAGCTGAAGTGAAAAACTATTGTCATGGAACCCTTGTTTCTGCATCATATATAGACTTTAGCATAATGATAAATATATAGGCAACCAGTCCAGGAGGTCAGGAAGGACGTTAGGAAATAGATATCTGTGCAAAAGAAAAACTCTGCAGATTATCCGTACTAACCCCCAAAACTATAGCATAAAAAAAGTGTGATTAAAACACTGACACAAATACAACCTGATCCAGAGTAGATATCACTTAACCTTCTGATTCTCAGTTTCCTTATCTGTGAAATGGGCTAATAATCCTTGCATCAAAGGATGGTTATGATAGTGCCTAACACTGGCTGGCCCATAGAAGGTGCTTACAAAATATTTATTTCCTTTTTCCCTCCAACACATGGTCACAATCCACAAATCAGCTTTTTCTTAGCCACTGTTATCAACCCTATTCCTTGTCAGATGAATGAATCCTCTGAAATTACACAGATATTTGTAACCGATTAAGAAAGGGTACAGTTTAATCTCTTGAGAACACATTAGACGTTAAGAATGGCCACTGAGCTTGAAAGAATTTAAAGTTCATCTCTCAGGCTCCTCTGCTTTAAATATTGATGATCCCCAGGCTTTAGCCGAAGGCTTCTATCTGCACGTAACTTGAGTGATTTTATCCAGCTCTTATGAAGTCAACCACCATGTACACGGTGATGACCCCCAAATTCACATGTCTCCAATCCAGATGGTTCAGACTCAATGTGGCCAAACTTAAATGTACCCATTTCTTCTTCTCCTCTCACGTGAATGGTGTTATCGTTCAAGCAATAATTATAACAACGAGAACAGCTATAACCACCAAGGCGGTAGCAATAGCAGCTCACATTTGCTGAGAACTGCTTCCATTCTGAGCATTTTATATACATTATTGCATTTGACCCTCATAATAATACTATTGTAAGATAATAGAAATATATATTGGTCTCTGTTCCCAGTTCCTGGCACAGAGCTCGTGAAACCATTGCAAATTCCTAAGTGATAAGAACACTAGGAACATCTTTTGTTCCATGGAGGTGACTCTGGGTGAGCTCCTGTATGGGGGCTGGTCACCAGAAAGACCAAGTCATGCTTAGAAGCTTGGAATTTTCAGCCTCACCTTCCATCTTCCAGAAAGGGGAGAGGGTTGAACAATCGAATTAATATTTCATCATGCTGGTATGAGGAAGCCTCCGTAAAAATCTCAGTAGCGTGGGATTCAGGGAGCTTCCAAGCTGGGGAGCACATCCACACTGGGAGGGTGATGTACCCCAGCTCTGTGGGGACAGAAACTCCTGTGGTCAGGACCCTCCCAGATCTTCTCTATTTATGCCTTCGTCTGACTGTTGAACTGTATCCTTTATTCTGTTCTTTGCGGTTGGCATCTGAAGTGCGGAGCAGTCTTGTCGGACTGGGCCCTTGCTGTGTGGAATCTGATTATCACCAGGTAGATACTGTCAGAATTGAATGAAATTGTAGGACACCCAGCTCGTATCACAGAGAATTGCTTGGTGTGGGAAAAAAACTCCCACGCCTTTGGTGACCAGAAGAATCAAAAATGAAGTGTTCTGTGTGATAATAATGTAACACAGGAGACACACAGTAGGGAGCCCCAGAAACCCACACGTACACTTCTGGTCACTGAAGTTTTCATTGTGAATCGTGCTGTAAGTAGAGAGAAAGAGACACCCAAGAAGTTTCCTTCTTTACAAGTGCCAAGACAATTTAATGGCGGAAAGAATGGTGTTGGGACAATTGGGCATCTACATGCAAAAAGATGAAGTGGGTGCTTAAATCACATCAGACGTAAATATTAACTCAAAATGGTCATAGATGTAAGAGATAAAATGATAAAACTCTGAGAAGAAAACATGAGTAAATCTTGAAGATCAGGTGTTGTTAGGCAATGATTTTGAGATATGACACCAAAAGTCTAAGTGATAAAAGAGATGATTGAAAATTTTCAAAACTGAAAATTTTTTCTTGCTGCAGATAATATCCAGAAAGTGAAAAGACAGATCTCTGAGTGGGATAAAACGTTTGCAAACCATATATCCGATAAGGTACTTGAATCTAGAATATATAAGTAACTCTTACAAATTAATAATAAAAAGACAAATAAGCAAATTAAAAATGAATAAAGTCCTTAGATATTGCTCCAGAGAAGATATACCAATAGCCAACAAGCACAGGGAAAGATGGTCACATCATTAGTTATTAGGGAAGTGGAAATTAAAACCATGGTGAGATAATACTTCACACCTACTGGGAAGGCTATCATCACAATAAGGTAATGACAAATATTGTCCAGGATGTGGAGAAATTGAAACCAACATTTATTACTGGTGGTAATGTGAAGTGGTGTGGCCACTTTGGAAAACAGTACAGCAGTTCATCAAATTGTTAAATATAGGGTTACCACATGACTTAGCAATTTCGCTCTTAGGTGTGTATGTTAGTACAATGAATATGCCAACACAAAAGCTTGTTCAAGAATTTTCATAGTGGCATTAATAACAGACCCAAAGGAGAAACATCCCAAATGCCCAACAATGGATGAATGGATAAACGTGTGGCATACCCACGTGATGGAATATTATTTGACAACAGAAAGAAATGAAGTACTGATATATGCTACATTGATGAACTTTGAGAACATTAAGCTAGGTGAACACAAAAGACCACATATCGTATGTTTCCATTTAAATGAAAAGTCCAGAATAGGCAATTCTATAGAGATAGAAAGTAGATTAACAATGGCCTGTGGCTGAGGAGGGATGGGGTTGGGGAGAAATAGAGTGACTGCTAATAGGTATGGACTTTCTTTTTAGTGTGATGAAAGTGTTCTAAAATTAGATAGTGATGATGGTTGCTCCACTCTGTGAATATTAAAAACAATGAATTGTACATTTTTTTAATTTTATTTTTTCCCTCTGGAGAGTTTAAAAAAATTTTTTTACTGGGGTATAGTTGATTTACAATGCTGTGTTAGTTTCAGGTGTCCAGCACAGTGAATCAGTTATACATATGCATAGATCCACTCTTTTTTAGGTTATTTTCCCATATAGGTCTTTATAGAGTATTGAGTAGAGTTCCCTGTGCTATACAGCAGGTCCTCATTAGTTATCTATTTTATATATAGTAGTGTGTGTGTGTCAGTCCCAATCTTCCGATTTATCCCTCCCCCATACACTTTTAAATGGGTGAATTTTATTGTATGTGAAATATATCTTGATGAGGATGTTAAAAAAAAGAAGAGTAGGTCAGTGCCTAGCATACGGTAAAGGATTTAATAAATATAAACTCTGACACTTAAAAAATGTGTTAAGCACACATCTCTGGACAGTTGGCCACCTCGCTTTAGTGGTGAAGGAGAGCATTGTGTCAAAAATGACGGAAGGTCTGAGAACATGGAGAAAGGGTGGTGGCAGTGGCAGATATAGGGGGCGGGGAGTAGACATTGGGAGTACAATTGGCCTCTAGCACAAAAAACATAAACGCAGAAATCATTATTTTATGCATGGTACTTAGCAAAGTCCCGAGGATGACCCAAGTTCCTTGTGGCTGGGTTTTCCTACCCACCAGATCATCCCGTGAATTTGCCTGGAACCTCAATTCTCCAACTTAGGACCCAAAGCCCTTCTTACCATTTCTGAGTTCATCACGCTTTTCTCTGCTCTCCCTTCTGCATCTCATTTCATCTTCCGCAAGAAATCCTATTTCTTTCAATATTTTGTGATTCAGAAAAACAGATTTCGCTGGAAATAGAGGGAGTGTCAGGGAAGGGTCATTCTTTTCCTTTTCTTGATAAAACGGTTTACCCATATCCAGTTTCCTTTGTTTGTGTGTGTGGCCATTTGCCTTTTCAAACCTCTAAGCACTTGTTAGGACATATATCTCTCCTAACAGTAGCAGACCTTGGAGAACATCAGAGCTGCACGGGGTGTTTTATTCTGACATCTAGAGGCCACGCAGTGGTGGTGCGCATGAATGCGTATAATTAGAGATGGAGTGTCAGTCTGATGCCCTCAGCACTGGTCCAGCACCCTGTGTATTCCTGGCACCAGAGCTTGACACTGTCTGAGATCAGAATCAGGCTCTGTCATTTCTTAGCTGGTAAACGTGGGCACATTACTTTAATGGGGGTAATCATAATACTTACATGGTGAGGGTTAAATTCCTGAAACATCAGGATAGTTTGTGATACAAAGTAAGCCATTGTAACTATAAGCAGAAGCTTCATGTCTCTGTGTGTTTGAGAGCGAGAGACAGACAGACAGACAGACAGACAGAGAGAATGAGGAGGGGGCAATTGGCAAGTGGGAATAAATTGAGAGAGAAAAATCTGAAACCTATTGTTTCAGGATAAGAGTTAAAATTGCTTCATCAATGACAATTCTGACTTCTATCTTTTCACTTGGATTTAAGGTTTCTTGTGCCCACTGTTCATTTTTCTCCCTTAAATGCCTGTGGATTGGAAAACTCTTTTAGGAAAATGGAAGGAAAGTTGTATTGGGATTTTTCAATGTTTAGCTACAGAAAATAAAGTCTGAAAACAAGCTAGATGGAACCTCTACATGATGCTGGGAACCAATGAGGTGAAATGGAGGAGAAGGACGAAGAAAAGATGTGCTTCGAGTTTATCGTCTTAGAAGATGGTACCATTTAGTCCCCCTGGCAGCCCTTTTGTGGCTAAGCCCCTTGAGGCTCAGGGAGGGGGCGGGCTTCCCCCCCTCGCTGCCGGGGGTGCAGGGATGGATTGGATACAGACATTTGGGTTTCAAAGCCTGGCTGTTTCTCACTTTGCTATTCTGGATCGTAGAGATGGTGAGGGAGGGGAAGCTGTGGGTTCAGAAGTAGAGGAAGGGGTGAAAAAAATTTGAAAGTCAGATAAGGGGACTGCCCATCCCCCCCCAACCCTGGGTGTTAACTGAACCAGCAGGACCTGAGTTGCTCTGGGGGTCCCACAGACATGAGTGTGGTAGCTTGCTAACCACTGCTGGATGGGCTAATAGCTCCCAGAAAACGCAACTCACTTGGACAGCCATGAACAGAACACACAGGAGCCATCGTGTCGATCTAATATCACTAGACAGTTCAATCATCTACTGGCATAAAGAATACATTTTAAGCCACACATTAGAATGCGTGGGCTGCCAGGCGTCCATCAGGATGACAAACATTTATAATCAGATCATACGTCATGGTATCTCTTGGTCAAGAATTACCTGGATTAGTTACCAATCGCCGTGTGATAAAATCATCACAAACTTCGTGGCTCAGAGCAGCACCCAGCTATCACCTCACAGCTCCTGTGGGTTGGGAGCCCCTGCCTGGCTCAGCCGGGTCTGCTGTAAGGCTGCAGTCAGGGTGCTGGCCAGGGCTGGGTTCTCATCTGGGGTCGGCCGGGGTTACGTCTGCTCCAAGCTCGCGTGTTTGCTAACAGCGCTCAGTTCCGTCAAGTCTTCCAGACTGAGGAAGCACTCAGCTTTTTCTGGCTCTCGGTTGGGAGCTGCCCTCAGTGTCCTGCCATGTGACCTCTCCCTTTGGTGGCTTGATTCTTCAAAGCCAGCAAGACGGTGCATCTCCCAGCAAGATGGACACTACCCGCTTATGTAACGTAATGACACACACGTTGTCGTGCACATGCTGTCCTCTTTGTCATAGCCTGTTGGTTAGAAGGAGGTTTCAAGCCCACCCTCAGGGGAGGGGATTAGGGAGACTTGTGAATGCCGGGAGTCAGGCCTCATGGGGGCCCCTGAGAGTCTGTCCACCACATTGCCTTACATCTAGCACCAGGGCAGAGAGCAGTCATGGGAAGCTAAGTCCAGCGAGACTGGCCCAGGCCATGGCGTACCTCAGGACTTCTGCATTTTTCCTGGGGATAAAGGAGCAGGGGTCCTCCTCTGGTCCCTTCAGGAAGACTTCCTGAAGGAGGTAGGATTTCTGGCGCTGTCTGAGCGACAGGAGAGAAGCAGTTTGGTAGACGTCTGAGGAAGATTGTTTTATATGAATAGTTTGGGGGTGCGTTGAGATGGGAGTAGGAGGACTGAATGTACACTCTTTAAAAAGTGGTTCCAGGGCTTCCCTGGTGGCGCAGTGGTTGAGAGTCCGCCTGCCGATGCAGGGGACGCGGGTTCGTGCCCCGGTACGGGAAGATCCCACATGCCGTGGAGCGGCTGGGCCCGTGAGCCATGGCCGCTGAGCCTGCGCGTCCGGAGCCTGTGCTCCGCAATGAGAGAGGCCACAACAGTGAGAGGCCCGCGTACCGCAAAAAAGAAATTTAAAAAAAGTGGTTCCAGAGTGTTGTCTCTGAGTCAACAGGCTGTGCACTTTCCAGCCATGGGTCCAGCCTGCCCAGGCGATTTTGCTTTTTTCTTCTCTTGCAGGTGTGGCAATGCAGTGGGAGAATCAAGGTCTTGCCCTGTTCCCGGGTTGCCCACCTGGAGAGACACCACAAGCCCTACTCCTTGGACCTGAGTATTCTCTTGAAGCATAATGCCCTGAGAGTGGCTGAAAGCTGGATGGATGAGTACAAAGACATGGTCTACATGGCCTGGAACATACCTCTCCAGGTTCGTCCCGGACTTGAACAGAAGCAGAGATGGATGAAGAAGGAAGAGGTGGTGGTCACGGCGGGAGATGGGAAGGGATCAAGCAGAAGTACCATCCCAGCCCTAAAGAATTTAAGTCAAGTCCCGATAGGGTGAGAATAGTGACGTTAGCATTTGTGTCCCAGGACTAAGTTCCAGGCACTCATGACGCATCACAACGTACCTCTGGCCTAAGGCTTATTTTTATTATTTTAAGTTTTCAGATGAAGAAACTGAAGCACAGAGTGGAAAAGAAGTTGCTTAAGGTAATAAGGTCGTAAGAGCAGAGATAGGATTCAAACCAAGGAAACTTCTAGATTCCACGTCCTTCATCCGTCATCTATACTGGGGGATTCCTTGTGGGGCAGGGTTGGGCATGGATCCACTGTTTAAAGAGGACATAAACATGGCGGTTGGGGTGTGGGATGGTGGGAGCAGACATCGGAATCCTGTTGGATGCACGTGAACGAAGATGACTTTCTTGGCTAAGGTCACATCATTTGCCCTAGTCCTCGAGGCCGGCATGATGTGCCGTCTCTGTTCCCGAGCTGTGGCTCTGGGCTGAAGCATTCTTCCACTTTGATTGGCCACAGATACCACTTCTAGAGAATCTCCAAATCTTGGCCTTTTCTGGACATCATGAGGAATATTTTGTGTCTGGTTGATGTGAATATTATCTCCAACAGGAGCAGTCGGCATCAGCTTGCTAACGATGAGACGTAAACCCCGCTACGCAGGCCTTGCAAGTGCCTTTGCAACTAGCAGATATTCCTAGGGGTCAAGCTTCTTCCACTTTCCCTGGAAAACTATAAATGATTAAGGATATCTTACAGGGAATTAGGGAAACACTCAGTTCCCTCATGCGTTATCCATACCCTTTGGTGGAGTCAAGGGTGTTGCAAGGTACAGACATGTTCCATGTTTTATTTGCAGAGCTCTGGAATCGATTTTGGAGACGTTTCTCCCAGAATGGCATTTCAGAAGAAACTGAAATGCAAAACTTTTGACTGGTATCTGAAAAATGTTTATCCAGTCCTGAAGCCAGTCCACAGCACTGCGGGCTATGGAAGAGCAGGTTTCATGAAATTGCATTTCAGATTTTAAATGTTTGGATATAAAAGACCACGAGACCTGAATCATCTCATGACTGCCTGGGCAAGGGTTTCCAAAACCCATCCTCCCCGATTCCCTGCCTACCCCCAACTCCTTCCTCAACTTCTTACGCTTGAGCCCTCTAGTTTCCCTTCCTCTCTTGCTCCCCGGTCCCCATCTATTCCTCCTCTCCGCCTCTGGTTCCTTATTTTGCAAACCACAGCCCTTGCTCTGACCCTCACAGTTTCTCAGCCAGTCAGGGCGTGTGGCCTCACCCACCTGACTGCAAGTGTAGGAGCCCCTCCTTTATATATGGTCTGATGCTCTGAGGGGGTGCGTGTTCCCAGGAAGTGGGCATCACAGCAGAGCCTCACTTCAGCTTAGAAAGTAGCTGCTGGGATCCCAAATTCCCACTCCCTTTGGCATCCTTAGAGTACCGGGCAAAATGCCTGGGGAGGCTTGGGGACCCTCCTTCTCTGCCTCCTTCCAACAGTGTTGCCTTGTGTTTTGCTCCTTCAGATGAAAAACCCATTGGATGAAAGTGTCTGCCTGGACCAGGGAGCTATTCCAGGCAACAGCCGATCATGTATTACCTCCATCGGTACAGTTCCCAGGTATCTTCCCTGCCCGGCAGGGTGAGCCTGTTGTGGCTCACCCCCTGGTAGCCTTTGCCAGATTTGGACTTGGCGTTAGATGATGGGGAAGCAGGTGCTCAGCATCCCTGGTAATGGGTGAGGATGAAGCCTGAACCCGTGCTTGTCACTAAGCACTTCCAAGTTCATGTGAGCAGTCATTGCATTTCAGGTACAGGGAGGATAGGAAGAAAGGCTGTGCTCTGGCACATTCATTCTCCGTGGTCATATCTTCATCGAAAAAAACCTCCAGTCTCTTCCTTTTCCCCTCCTCCCACCGCCCCTTCTATCCACCCACTGCCCCTTGTATGCCCTGGAAGGTGGGCAGGTGATGCTACGTGTGGTTCCTTCCATAGAGAAGGAAACAGAGGGCTAGAGAAGAGAGAGGCTGAATGGAAGTCCCTCCATGGGGTAGGAGAGGTCTGGTACCACGTGGAGGGGGCACCCAGGGGACTTTTTCCGCCTATCACGCGACTTTGCACGTGGCCCTCACAGGAACTTTTTGAGGTCTGCAGGACAGATTGAATTTCCATTTGAGAAAAGAAAAAAATGGAGATACAGAAACAACCTATTTGTCCAAGCTCACTGAGCAAGGCGGTGAGAGACTGAGAATTTGAAAGGTTTCCTGACAACAACCCCTTAGCTGGGACTTATAATGACAGCTTCTGAAGTTCAGTTGTGTTGTTTTTGTTTTTGTTTTCAAAGATAAGCTCCCTCATCTATGCAGGAATTAATTCTATTGGAGCCTTTGTATGGAAGGAAGAAGGCTAGTGTCCCTCTCTCATGCCTGGTCTTTCTAGAATCAGCTGGGGACGAGGGGTGGTCAGAGAAGGGTGCAGAGGTCACACTGTTACCCACGAAAGTTCAGTGGTCCCCCCGTGGTGACTGGGTGTCTAGGGAACCAAGAGCAGTCTTTATGCCCTCTGTAATGTCAAGGGCATCCCCACTGAGTCTCCATGGCAAGTCCCCTTGTCCTCTTGCAGAATGTCTACTACCACCTAACTGGGGAAGTCTATGTGGGACCACTGATTGCTGAGACAGACATTGATGACTGCTGCCTGACACACCCTGGCAAAGGGGAGAAACCTACTTTACAGCCATGTTCCAAGGCAGTCAAAAATAGACTGCACATACACTGGGATTTTAAACCGGTGAGTCAAGTGTTGTTTTTTTTTAAAGATGGATATATTAAAATATAGTCTGAGAGGTTCCGATTTGATCTAGTAGTGTTTTAGAAAGATTAATTTTGTAGCAGTGTATAGGGAAAAGACTAGAAAATTTTCTAGTCTGGGCATGAAATCCTGAGTCTGTTGACTAAGGCGTGGTGGCCAAGGGGAAAAGATATTGGAATGTGTTGTAACTTAACAGTTAAGAGTTTGCCTTCAAATCCTAGTTCAGTCACTTTTAGCTATTTTCTTATCCTCTCTGAGACTCAGTTTCTTCATCTCTAAAGTGGAGATGATAGTTTCTCCTTTACGAGCCTGTGGAGATGATTAAATGGGATAATATATGTAAAGTATTTAGCATGGTGCCCGGCACATAGAAAACGTTCAATACTATTAGCTGTCGTGATTAGCCTTATTATTAATGATAATCAGAGAGTCTGGAACACTAGGATGAAATTCGACAGGCACTGATGTAAAAGCCCTGATTTAACATCATCATGAATTGACTGAGAACAGGGTGGAGGGAATCCAGCAGATGTCACATGACAGTGGCGTGAGGGACATGGCTGACCACGTCTACATGTGAATTAACTGTGTGTTGGAGCTGCATTCCTAAGCCACTTTGGCAGGAATGGGATGTCCTGAGGGAGAGAGGCGGGTAATGCTTTGTTTGTGAATGTATCTCGGAGCATCTTGGTGCTGTGTTAGCTTAGGTTCACATTGTAAGAGACATGGACAGTCTAACAGTAATTGCTCACTTAAAGCTAATAACCCCTTGAGGAATGCTATGGACTGTCTCCAGGAAAAGATATATAGGCACTATGTGAACAATTGTGCTAATGTTTTGCTGAAGTTTTTTTTTTTGTCTACGTTCATTAGAGATAACGGTCTGCAGTTTTTTTGTTTTTGTTTTGCTACTGTCTTCGTTTTTAGTATCAGGTTGATACTGGTCTCATAAAGTGCGTTGGGAAGTGTTCCTTCTTTCTGTTGATAAAATTAGTCATGTTGACAAATATTACAGAAGAGACCAATTTCTGGAAGAGATCGTCTTTCATTGGTGTTAGTCCCTCTTTAAATTTTTACCAGAATTCTTTAGGGAAACCATATGGACCTGGATTTTTTTTTTCAGAACCTTTTAAATTATGAGTTGAATTAAAAAAAAATGATATAGGGCTATTCAGATTATTTCGTCTTGATTGAGTTTGGTGGTTTATGGTTTCTGAGGAACTGTTCCACTTCTTCAAATTTATGAGTATAAAGTTATTTGTAGCATTTGATTCATTTACTTATTTTTATTTAGATATAATGGACATATAACATTATATTAATTTCAGGTGCACAGCATGATAACGTGATTTATATGTATATTGCGAAATAAGCTCCGCAGTAAGTCTCGTTAATGTTCATCATCACACACAGTTACAATGTTTTTTCTTGTGATGAGAACTTTAAAGGGGTTTTTCAATTTAATAAACTCCCTTAAACATACAGACTGTGTTTATAAATTTAATACATTAAATTTTCTTTTTTAAGAACTTCAATCATCTTGACTTTAAGCTGAATGATTTATTAAGTTCTGTTAAATGTTTCAAAAGTGTTTGCGATCCAGTAAATTTCAACATACAATCACAGACTTATTTAATTACACATTTTAAAATTGGTATCAAAAGGTTAATCTGTAAGACAGTTTTTCTTAAACATTGTAAGTACTTAAAAATAGTAAATGTACACAGAGTCTTTAGCAATTATTATGTGTTTGATTCCTTTCACATCTCAACTTTATCCTAAACCTCCAGATAGTACTTATGCTAAAGAAACAATGATGACATCCCAAACATTTTGAAGGTTGTCTTTCCAAAAGAATTTTGGAAGATCACTTACTTTCTTAGCGGGTTGAAGTTGCTGATAGAATAGACATCTTGGCTGGTGTGAGATCTGGAGCTGCGGGACATGCAGGGGAATTCAGCCCACCACTCTGATGTCCAGGCTGGGTCCCTTTGTATGATCACTATGTCAAGAATTCCAAAAGTTAAAGAGGGAGACACTCGTGTCGCTTAGGGTGCATTTCCTGATTTCAAGTCAGGTTTAAGTCCCTCCATTCCATCTCATCTCTTCCTACCCATCTTATCTCTTAGGACCACAGCTCTTTCAGATGTGAAAATGATGTTTGTTGGAATCTTGGGTCCCTTTTGTGCTCTGTTTTCTTTGTAGACACAAATCGCACATTCATTCTACTAAAAAGTTACCAAAGATGTTTCCCAGAACTGAGAGGGAGGGAAGGCTCGATAATTCCTTTGTTGTCTTCCAATTCCATGATTAATGTTTTGAGTCAACCAAAAGAGGTTCTGACCTCTGAAAACCACAGGAGAGATGGTGCCAGTGACTGAGAAGGGACTTGTTTGGAGAGAGGCCAGTTTGAGGTATCTGGACTCTCACATGAGGAGCACGGAGGGGAGAGGAGAGACAAAGCTGATATAATGGAGAATTTGAGTGACAGTCATTGTTCAGAAGTTTTCTGGATAGCGTGACAGCAGAGGATCTCTGGGAGAGGTCGTGAGAAGGAGGAAGCCACTCGTAGTTGGGTTTGAGAAGTGGCCAGGAAGAGATCCCTGAGGGATGGCCCTCACGCGTGCTGGAGGGCACAGCTCCAGAAAGGTCTGACACTAGCCAGAACCCCCAAATTGATTAGGCCCCCTTTTAAGGCGCTAATTCTCTCTCTCTCTTTTATCTTTTTTTAAATACATTTATTTATTTATTTATTTAGGCTGTGTTGGGTCTTCGTTTCTGCGCGGGCTTTCTCTAGTTGCGGCGAGTGGGGGCCGCTCTTCATCGCAGTGCGCGGGCCTCTCACTGTCGTGGCCTCTCTTGTTGCGGAGCACAGGCTCCAGACGCGCAGCCTCAGTAGCTGTGACTCACGGGCCCAGTTGCTCCGCGGCATGTGGGATCTTCCCAGACCAGGGCTCGAACCCGTGTCCCCTGCATTGGCAGGCAGATTCTCAACCACTGCACCACCAGGGAAGCCCGCTAATTCTAAGACAATATTTTAATTTAAGGAATAATATAGAATGTAGATCAAGAGTAATATAGAAAATATGTTAATAATTATTGCAAAATATTAGGAAAGATTAAATGTCCAAAAGTAGGGGAGATTTTTGTTCATCCCTTGAACTGAATATTATATAGTCATTCAAATGATATTCTCAAAAAGTGTGTTTTCTAAAAAGTGAATGACACTGGAAAATGCACGTGATACTATGTTAAGTTTCAAAAACAGGGCATAGCAGCCAGATAGACAATGTTGTCTTAAGCTAAGAAAACGAGCACATATTCATTTTGTACAAGAGAAAAAGAATCAAAAACTCATTTCAACAGTGGCAGGCCATGCCCCTGCAATAAAAACCAAACCGAAAATGTACAAGACCCAGATGAACACAGGTAAGAGAATCCAGGGGGGAGAGTCTGAAGACAGGTAAGGAATATTGCCAAAGTACATGTCACATGGAAGTGGAGAGAAAATAGAAAAAAAAAAGACCATTGATTTTATCTGCAAGGTCACAATAAATTGTAATTGCCAATATTTACTGATCACATGTTACGTACCAGATATTGGATTCAGCATTACCTAATTTAGTCCTTACTCAAATCTTATGAGAAGTATCACCATTAGCTCTACTTTACCTATGAAGTAACTAAAACACAGAGAAGTCGAATAATATTCCAAGGTCACAGAGCATAGTAAATATCCAGGGTTCAAACACAGGATCTTATCCTCTGTTTTTGCCTCACTGCTTGGGAAGTTTGATTCTGAAAGGGAGAAAAACACTGAATCCTGGTTGAAAAAGATGATAGAGTTAAGGAACATTTTTTCACCTCGAATATTTGGACATTTGGATGTATTTAAAGTCATAGAAAAGGGATCTGCCAAGAGGGAGAAATAAGAGAAGGATGTTAGACAGGAAGGGTGTTTGTTTCTCTGGCATCGAGGATGGCTGGGCTCCAAGCACAGGGGGCCGATAGTAGAGACAGAGGCAGGGCAGCTCCTTTGAGACCACCCCTGAGCAGTACCCCGAGATTGCTCATGGCATTGGGGAGGGGCTAGATTGGCTGGGAGCAAGGTCTTCTTGACAAAGGGAAAAATAAAGGCATTTAGTGAAAGTGAGGGACAAGGGCTGGGGCAGAAAGAAACAGCATGCTAAGGAGGCTTGGAAGAGCAACCCTACGGAGTAAGCCAAGTTCTGAGGCCAGACTGCTCGAAGCACTTTTTAGGGGCCAGGCCTGCTCAGTTGGTGGACCCTCTCCAGGAGCAATCTGTGGTCTGGGAATGGGGCCCAGAGAAAGGAGCGGTGGGAGTGATGCGGGCAGTTCAAGAATAGGAGAGCATAATTCCAAAAGAGTCATGTACCACAATGTTCATTGCAGCTCTATTTACAATAGCCAGGACGTGGAAGCAACCTAAGTGTCCATCGACAGATGAATGGATAAAGAAGATGTGGCACGTATATACAGTGGAATATTACTCAGTCATAAAAAGAAACAAAACTGAGTTATTTGTAGTGAGGTGGGTGGACCTAGAGTCTGTCATACAGAGTGAAGTAAGTCAGAAAGAGAAAAACAAATACCGTATGCTAACACATATATATGGAATCTAAAAAAAAAAAAAAAGGTTCTGAAGAACCTAGGGGCAGGACAGGAATAAAGATGCAGATGTAGAGAATGGAGTTGAGGACACGGGGAGGGGGAAGAGTAAGCTGGGACGAAGTGAGAGAGTAGTGTTGACACATATACACACCAAATGTAAAATAGATAGCTAGTGGGAAGCAGCCGCATAGCACAGGGAGATCAGCTCGGTGCTTTGTGACCACCTAGAGGGGGCGGGATAGGGAGGGTGGGAGGGAGACGCAAGAGGGAGCAGATATGGGGATAAATGTATACATATAGCTGATTCACTTTGTTATAAAGCAGGAACTAACACACCATTGTAAAGC